AGGCTTCTTACAGTTTGTTTTCATTGTTTTCATTTGTCTTTTAATTTCATGGAAATTGAGAGATGAGAATAAAACTATTTGAAGACTTGAGCTGAGCTGTATATATTGATGTAAGTGGCTTTGATAATTTGAGGGGAAAAATATTATCTATAATTGGTATTTTTATATAATATATGTGTACAATGCAGTATAGAATGGAAGAGGAAACAAGATTTTATTATTTACAGAAACAAGGATTTTTTTTTAAAGTAATAGAATTATAGCAAGTATCCATTAGGATGTCTTGTGAAAAAGCATAGACTATGTTGTGACTTCATTAGCAAACTTGAAACCTATGTTCATACTGTTATAGAAATACATTTCCCCTGGAAGGAGGCATACATCAAATTGGCCAAGTGTTTGCTCTGTGACCTACAGATCCTGGAAGTCTATGCAGGAGACATAGTCTTGCCCATGCAGACAACAGCTGTATTGGGCTGCTCTGTGCATGAGTACACCACTGGAATTTTTCTGATAATGTAGCTCTGAGTATCACTGATTGGTTTATTTTTTTCCATTGTGGAGTAGCAGGGAGACTTGAAGTAGCATTAATTGCAGAGCAGATTTTCTCTGGAGAAGCCTCAGAATAAGCAGGTGATACTATTGTAGAGAGCAGCGTAAAAGGAAACTGAAGTGGCAGAAGCATATAATCAGATAGCAACAGGTAAAGTAGTTAAGAAGTATTGGAGATTATATAATAACAGAAATGGCAACACAAGTGGGATTTCCATTAATTCAGAGACAGTCTAATAAACTCTTCAGTAGAAGTGAAGTAAATGACTGGAGAACAAAAATGTAATTCTGATGATGCAAGATGTTCGTGGTGCAAGGAGAATGCCTGATTAAGAACCAAGGTAATTGTTTCAAATTATGTATCTTCTTTAAGATGTTACCAAAGCACACCACCATTACCTGCTCTAATTACACAGACTTGCTAGATTCTGTGCTTATACAGAACTGCTAGAAATTTATATAAAGCACAGGACTGTAAAAGACTACTTTGGTCACCCTGTGGGTCTCCACAATCAGGCAACTCTGAAATAATGCCTGCTCCCTTGCAGCCTACAGAACATGCTAAGAACCACAAAATATTTGTTTCCAATACCCTATAAAAAGGTGAAGGAGATGTAGCACAGCAGAGTGAAGTGCATGGAAGTCAGCGTGCCATGAGATAAACCCAGGAGAGGTTGAGAATACCACCAGTATTTTAGTTGCTCAGAGATCCTAACTCCACCACAGATGACTGGTTTTTAACCAAGCACACAGACAAATGGAGGTACAGAAGCATCTTGGTTTTTTATCTTGTAAACCACCGAAACTCTATCACCCCCTGTGAGCAGTCTCTGATGCTTCAAAGGCTAACCCCACTTCACCAAAAATCAATTACCTATGGGGAGAAAAAAAAGCCAAAGCAATGTACCACTTGTGTTGTGGCACAATACAAAGTTTATACTATAACAAAGAGTATTTGCCTTTAAAGCCAAAATAATGTCAATTAGGTTATTTGCACATGAAGGATCAGCTTGGCTACTGGGCTGTTTTTACGTGCAGTGTGCTTTAAAAAACCCAAACAAACCAGAAAGCAACAGCTGATCACAGTTCACACACTGGACAGTGGGGTAACTGAACAGACCATTTGGCCTGTAAAATTTTCTAAGTTTGTCTCACTTCCTCTGGGAAGCTTCTGAATATATTTGTGTCTGAGATATGTAATCATGCCTATTCTTCAAAATATTCTTCAAAATAAAAATCCAGAATAGTGACAAAATAATCAAGGAAACAGAAGGAAAATAAATACCTTTTTAAAATATGCCCATCACACTTAAATCTACAGCTGCTTTTAGCTGAAAAGTTTGGATTCTGCTGAGATAGATTGTTATTTTTATACTTGCAATACCTCTGAAGCCTATAATCACAGTTCTTGAATTTGCTGTTTCCAGGGAGGTATGTAAAACTTGTCACAAGATCTTCCCTCAATATGTTTAATGGTCAGCTAATAATATGTTCTAAACCAGATATTTTTTCCCTTCAACCTCTGCATACAAGTGACTGAAGTTAAATTGTCTTCTTCATGCTTGTGACAATTTCTAGTCAATTTTTGTTTCAGAGGTTTTTTTCCCTTGCACTGGCAATCTCCCTCTCCCACTGCTATGACCTTGTTTCTTGTTTTCTGGTTCCCTAGCTGGCAAGAGACAGTGTGTGCTATGGCTGACCAGTGTTTCAGTGTGCTAAGGAAATGTTTAACAATACAGATCTGCTCATCTTTCCCCTGCTGGAGTCACTTGTTTGATTCTCTCTTTTTTACTAGCAGCCAATTATTATAAAGTCTGTAGCAACTTACTTTACGATTTCTCTTACTTTTAAAAAGTTCCTGGAATTTAGTTCAACACAGTGGGAACACTGTGTGACACAATTTTACCTTTCACTTGAAGTATTTCTTGAATGCATTTTTCTTGTTTATGTATTTGTCAATGGCCTAATAATACAGATGTTGGCATTTTGCAACCTGCTTTGCTACTTTACTTTAGGCTATAAAAGAAGAGTAAGCATTAAGAAATGCTATATATATCCCAGAAGTGCTATTATGTGCTAATATATGGCTTCTTATAGAGAGCTTAGTGAGGATGAAGAAAAACCCTATTGGTAGAAATGCAAAATCTCATTGCTGATCATTTTCATGAGTAACTGATGGGGACAAGAGTAGCCTGATTCCTATTGTTTTCTATCAAATCAAAGGCAGTTTTCACTCTGAGCATACTACTAATTTTATATGATAAACAATGTTACTACTATTTGCCTAAAAAGCAAAGAAATATGTCACATCATCCCAAGATTATGGCAAAGACTTGGATAATGGCAGTAAGAGTTAAGTTTACTTGCTGCTAGTAAATTACTCATATATATGAGAAAGTGTACAAGATGGAGAAAGGAAAATTTCAACTGAACCTAAATAAATTAATTCACAATCAGGATAGTCAGGGGTTGAGACAAGTTGCCTAGAGAGTTTGTATAATTGCCATCCTTACATATACTCAGACTTTATTTGGATGAAGCTGTGAGCAATCTGAATTAACTTTAACATTAGACCTGCTTTGAGCAAAGGCATTAGGCCAGATGATGTCCAAAGGTCCTGCCAACCCAGTTAGTGTTCTATTCTAGATAATGTTCTGCTTGATTGGGAATTTAACACTGGAAATTAGAGATCCCAGGTGGTTATATGTGAACTCTTCTTCCTACCTGAGTAAGTATGCAGTAGTTTTAACTAGGTTGCCTGCAGTTTGAGGGAGGTTGATTTTCCTGTCTGTGGTGCAGCACAGATGAGGTGACATGTGGAGTGCTGTGTCCAGTTCTTAGAACAAGAAGGACATGAAGCAAGTCTCAGAGCCCCAGAGGGCCCACAGGGCCCCAAAGGTCTTTAAGGTACTGGAGCACTGTTCATATAAGGAGAGGTGGAGAGTTCGGGGACTGCTCAGCTGTGGAAAAAAAGTCTCAGGGGATCTTTTCAGCATATATAATTCCTTGATGGGAGAGAATAAAGATAAAGAAATCAAACTGTTCTCAGTAGTGCCCACTGACAGGAAAAGAGATAATAGGAACAAATTGAAACACATGAAATTCTATCTGATAACAAGAAAACATTTTTTTCCACTATGAAGTTGATCAAAACTGGGACAGATTGCCCAGAGAGTGTGTACAGCCCCATCTATGGACATAGTCAAAACCCAGCTGGATACAGTCCTGGACAACCTGCTTTAGCTGGCCCTGCTTGAGCAGACAGGTTGGATTAGATGGTCTCAAGAGGTGTCTTCCAACCTAGGGAATTCTGTGAACAGAAGTTTTTTAAAGCTGTAAAATGGCATTTCCATCAGATGTCTAGAGAATCAGTATCCAGTGAAGGTGAATGCTGTGGTTCTCTCTAAATGCCATTCAGATTGCTTCACAATTTCTATCAAGAAAACTAAGGATTTTTTGTTTTGTTAGTTTCGTAGTTCAGATGGATTCCAGTATTTCCTTCATCTACAAAATACAAGTAACTCTTAGGATAACTGGAGGGTAGTTGGAGCCTTGCCTAGAAAGGCTCTAGAGTAGCTCGATAAGGATGTAACATTGTACCAATGTGGATCTCCTTGCAAAGTTAGTATTATTCACTCATTTAAAATTTTGCTGAGAATTTGGCTCTATTGATCAATGTTTATTTTGTCTCTGAAATTTACTTGGGAGCTGACAATGAGCATTGGTATATTTCAAAAAGTAGTACAACTGCTTTAATGAAATGCTTGGAGTTTGCAAGTTCTTGTGTGTCAGGACTGAACAGTCCTGTTCCTTTCAAAAGATACATCTTATTGATATGAAATGTAAGTTATTACTCTGTTTCACATCAGGATGATACAGTAGTTCTTCAGGGATTTCAAGGATGGTAATGCTTAGAAAGCAGCATTTATTTCTATGTGTTAGGAAAGTCATATATGTGAAAAAGGACTTGACTTTTTTAAAAAAGTAAGCACTGTGTTAGAGAACACTGAGGACTTCTGAGTGAAAGTCAGTTGATGAGAGAGTCAAAAGTTGAAGAAACACAGAAAAATGAGAGCAGCTGTATTTTCATCACTCATTTGAGGGCTACAGTCACCAGCTCTGTCATACCATACCAAAGCTCTGTCATACCTAAAGACACTAGGGTGACTTTATGATACTGTATTGTATCCCCCACCATCTGCTGATGCTGGATGTTGAGTTCTGTGCCTTAACACTAGATCCAAGAGCCAAGGGAGGGAGAAGCAGTGGTGTGCAGTTTTGTCTGCAGAAGCTTCACTTCCTCCCCAGATTCCTTTCACTTGGTGTGTTGTCTGCAGCATGGATAGAGGCAGGGCAGCTTTCCTTTGCTTTTTAAGCTGGTTTCTCATCTGTGACCTGAGTCAAGAAAGATTTTCCTGGGACAGTGTCTTTTTTCTGGAACTGCTCAGCTTTTCCCTGCTCTGGAACACCAGGACAATTGCTCAGGGCCACCCCCCCCGCCCCCCCCAAGTGGCCCTGCAGCCTGGACAGGCCTGAGCCCTGGAGAGACTGAGACTGAGTGAGAGCCAAGCCAAACCCACGGAGAACCCTCTGAACCACAGACGGACTCTCTGAATTTGCCATCGCTTCAGAATGGTGAGAAGTTTTATTGTTTAATATTATCCATTTTTCCAGGCTTGTAACTACTTTGCTTGTTAAAGAAACAGCTTTTTTCCATTTTCTTCAAGGAGATTTTCTCCTGAACTGGTTGGGGGAAGGGCTGCTGGAATCTGCCTTTTCAGAGGAGACACCTTTTGGGTGTTTTCTCCCAAATTTGTCTCAAACCAGAACAAATATTTTGGCACCCAATGTGGGGCTTGAGGAAGTAGAAAAAAATTTGTCCTGATTGCATTTTGGTTTTACTTACCCTGTATTGGGATAAAGCAGTCAGTAGCCATGCTGCCTGAATTTATAGCATCTCTCTGGCTTGAGGCACTGATGTCTTTCTGGTCCCTACACTTAGGCTTGTTTTCTCACCCACAAATAGCTCCAGTACTGTTCCTAACATATAGCTTTTACAGAAGAAGGGCACTGATTAGGATTGCTCTTCTGCTGGGTATGATGATTATGATTTATAGAGGGTTAACAAAGGTACTGGGGTTTGTTCAAAATGTGTATGGTCTGTTGTTCATTCATCTTAGCTTCCGTAGCCTGTTTTGGGGATTTATTGGTAACTGCACCCAGTTTGTTAGAGGAGGAGTAGGGAATGGGTTTTCCCAGCCCTTCCTCTCCTTCTTCTCCTTTTAATCTGTTATGTCACCTTTTGAGAATATTTAGTTTCCCCTGAATGTTCAAGAGACCACTTTCCTGGTATTTTATCTGGTAAGCTTCCTCTATCCAGTCTGCAGCTTGTCTAGAGTGAGGGCTGAGATGTCCAGAGGGGTTGAGGAGGCACCTGACCCAGGCATGGAAAATCCTGAATGGTGTGAGGAATGGGAGAAAATGGGCCATGGGAGAAAATTTCCTAAAGGAATTTTCTGACCCAATAGCCTGGGACTTTCCCTGTGAACAAATTCAGAACCCAGATGAGCTGGGGAAATATTTGCAAGAGAACCAGGACACACCATGTTTCCTGTCACTAATGACACATATCTACTCTGATGAGCTCAGTTCATTTCTTAATTCTGTTTCTTTCATAATATGAAATGAATGCCTTGTTTGATTCAAACACTATTCTTGTTACCTTTAAACTGCTATAAGAAGATTAAAATGCTCACATCACATATATGGACCTGTATGTTTAAATAAACCTGTTGAATGCAGTGCTAGAAATTAACTGTCTCTGAATTTATAATTAATTCATAGGCATTTATTAACACAATTTGCTTCCTGATGATATAAATCATAAGTATTTAAGGATCCACTTTCCTCTGATAATGAAATGAGAGCTTCTTCTGTGCTGCTTCTCATTTGGTCTTTATGTTGTGGTCTGGAAAGGTGCTGAAAGCCTTGGCTTTCATCACTTCAGTCAGCATCAACTTGGTACCAGCAGGACTGAGTTCCTGCACTGTGGAGAGATGAGGCAAGAATTTGTCATCTACACTATCACTTGCCTGGCATGGGACTGCTTGTCCTTAAAAGAGGGACTTCAGCATGACTTATGGGGATCAATACCACTTGTGTAGTCTGCAAGTATCCCAACTGCTGTGTGAGCATTACTGCATGGCCTACACAGTATAATGAATGATATAACTGAGTTTTTAATGTGCTTGAATAGAATACTGTGCATCCATTACCATGTAAACATGAGCCCAGCTGATTGATTCATTTAGAAAATGTTGGGTTCTTTATTTTCTCAAATGGGATACTTGATAAACTATGCTATGAAATCTCACTTAGAATAGTTTTTGTTGTCTCTTTCTCTATTTAGTGTTCTTTAGCCTGTGACTTGTCAGTGTGTGTTTTGTGGTACAAAACTGCAAATAATAGTTAACAGTAGAAGGTTTAAACCATCAAAACACAACTCCATTAAGCTATACTGAATCCTGGGGTGCATCAGGCACAGCATCCCCTGCCAGTCCGGGCAGGGGGCTGACCCCTTCTCCTCTGCACTGGTGCAGCCTCACCTTGAGTGCTGGGGCACTTTGGGCCCCCTCAATGTAAGAAAAATCTAAATCTGTTAGTAAGTGCCCAGGGAGGGCTCTGAAGATGGTGGGGGGCCTAGAGGGGAAGCCTTGTGAGGAGCAGGTGGCTCAGCTCACTTGGCTTGTTCTGCCTGGGGGAAACTTCGCAGAGTCTTCGCAGCTTCCTCGTGAGGGGCAGCAGGGGGGCAGACACTGATCTCTTCCCTTGGTGACCAGTGACAATACCCGAGGAAATGGCCTGAAGCTGAGTCAGGGGAGGGGTAGGAAAAGGTTCTTCACCCAAGAGGGTGGTTGGGCACTGCAACAGGGTCACCAGGGAAGTGGTCACAGCACCAAGCCTGACAGAGTTGAAGAAGCAATTAGACAATGCTTTCTGGCACATGGTGTGACTCAGGGATGTTCCTGTGCAGGAACAGGAGTTGGACTTCAATGATTCTTGTGGGCTCCTTCCAACTCCGAATACTCTATGGTTGTGTGCTGCTTCAAAAGATTTTTAGCTATATAAATTTTTGTTCATTGTTCATGTTGTGGAGAAATAACCTCATACAAGATGAACATTTTATCACGAAAAATCATTCAGATTCTGTTGGATTGCTCTGTCTGGTTTATCATGCATTCATCATTGCACTGTAACTTTAATTGTAACAGTTTTTGACGCACCTGATTCAGACTAGCCATTGAATTGATGTTAATGGAGATCTATTGCCTGGTAAATATTACAGCAGTAGGACTGGATGGCAGAAGCAGGCCAAAGTTATGAAAGCCTTCAGCTGTTGCAGCTCTTACACAAAGATGAAAGGGAAGAGTGCACTGGAGGGCCGCTGCAAAATGAGCACTTATTTCAAAATGCAGAACAGAAGAGCAAAGACCTAAAACAGTTGTAGGTAATGTGGTGGCATTGCTGCTGATACAGGAAACGTCTCCTTATGTTTCTGTCATTATTGTTAAATGCAGTATAAAAGAAATTTTCTAGAAACAGTACAATTGGAAAATTAAGGTAGCATTAGTTTTATGGGCAATTACGTGGTGATATGATGAGTTTCTGTGACTAGGAGGGGCAAAAGCAGATGCACTGAACCACGGAGACAGCTTTTACTCGTGCTAAACCGTTGGCTAGTTGGTCCCGGTTCGAGGGAAGCACACGTATTTTCACGGCATTCGGGCTAACTTAGTGCAGTGTTTAGTGTTTGCGTTTGCGGGCTGGAGAAATGGGTTTAACTTCCACCCCTCCACGGGCAGAAGCTGAAGTTATTTTTAAGAAACGGCGCCGGTGCCCCGGCGGGTGTGTGCCGAGCGGAGGGCGCCGCCGCCGCGCTCACCTGGGGCCGGCAGCGCCGCCGCCCCGCTGCCGTCCGGCCGCCGTGCGCGGGCAGCCCGCGCTGCTCCGGCCGCCGCCGCCCCGAGCGGCGCTGCGGGCTGTGGCGCAGCGGGGCTCGGCCGGGAGCAGCGCCTGCGCGCCCGTCCCGCCCGCCCCGGGACCGGCCGCGGCAGCCCGGCGGGGAGGAGGGAGCGCTCCGAGCGGGGGAGGCGCGCGGCGTTTCCCTTTCTCTTTCGCCGGGCGCCCGCCCGAGGCCGCGGGGCTGCGCCAGGTACGGCCGGGGCCGCGGTGGGGGCGGGAGGCGCCGCAGGTGCGGGAGGGGAGGGACGGGCGAGCGGGGGCAGAGCCGGGCGGCCGCCGCCCTCTCCGGCCGCGGGGCCGGGGCGGCGGGGGGGCTGCTCCCCGCGGGCCCGGCGCGGCCTGCGGGCCCGGCCCGGCGGGGCGGAGCGGAGCGGGCTGGGCTGTTGTGCCGGGCGGGCTGTGGCCGCGGCCCCTGCACCTGTCACCGCGGGCCCCGGCCCGTCCCGCCCGCGGCCGGAGCCCGGTGGGGCGGGGGCACGGCCTCGGACCTCGGCTGCCGGCGCACGGCGGCTGCTGTTATGTAAATTACAGCCCTGAACGCTGCCAAGTTCATGGCGACATCGGCCCTCCGGGGCATCGCCGCTGTCCGGCCAGGTTCACGGAGCTCTCGTTTTCCACGTGTGTTACAGGTAGGAAAATGACTCGCCCGGCGCAGGAGCAGGAGTTATGAGCCATGTCTCAGTGAGACCTGCGGAATTAGGATCAAATGCCTGGAGAAGTCCAGCTGCACAGAGCAGCGCCGCAGCTCTTGTGAACTGTGGACATCAGCGCCTCTCAGACTTGCTTCTCTGGCCCCAAGCACTCTGCCAGCGTTTCCTGCTCCACGAATGGCTACTCAGAGGAAGCACTTGGTGAAAGATTTCAATCCTCATATTACCTGCTATATCTGTAAAGGCTATCTCATCAAGCCAACTACAGTAACAGAGTGCCTCCATACCTGTAAGTAATACTTTTTAAAATAGTCCCTCCTTCATAAGTTGTTGGGGGTTTTTTTAAGTGTTAATGTGTTTAATATGACCACTGTGCTTGTTTTTGTTTACTGAATTTTTACATTAAATATTTTCAATTAATCCAGTCTCTTCTGAAGTTTCCTAAACACTGGTCTGCAGTCTGGGTTATCTTGAACTGTGTGCAGTTCTGTGCTCCACAGTGCAAGAGAGATATGGAACTCCTGGAGCAGTTCCAGCAGAGAGTACTAAGTTGATCAAGGATCTAGAGTACCTCTCTTACAAGGAAAGGCTGAGGGAGCTGGGCCTGTTCAGGCTCAGGAAGAGGTGGCTGAGAGGGGACCTTGTTAAGGTGTGTAACTATCTAGGGTGGATATCAAGAGTATAGAGCCAGGCTCTGCTTGGTAGTGCCAACAATAGAACAAGAGGCAATGGGTAAAAAGTGATGCACAGAAAGCTCCACCTGAGCATGAGGAAGAACTTCTTTACTGTATGGGTGGCCAAGCACTGGAACAGATTGCCCAGAGAG